TTGTCCGCTGGCCGCTAGCCCTCTCCTAGCTGCGGTGTGGGGCCAGCTGGCACCCAGGACCTTTCCCAAAAGGCAGCTGGGACCCATCTTGGAGGGCTTGGGGGGTCCGAGCCCCGGGGCGCACGTCGGCGCATCCCACCCGCCCTCGCACGCGGCCCCGCTGCAAGGCAAGGGCTGAACGCACGTTGCAGCATTTCCTCCCCTGTTTTCTGTTGAAGGCCTCCCTAGTCTCCGGGCAGCTCATACTCCAAAGGTTCAAGTCGCTTTGACACGCTCTCCCCAGACTGAACCCGCCGGAGGCAGAGCCTCAGCCCCTGCTTTTATCAGCAGCCGCAGAGCCAGACCATGTTACATGGATTTTTCTTTTCTCCGGCGGCTCGCGCTGCCCGTGTCCTGCGCGTCGGCTGCCCTCCACCTCTGCCCCGTCTATTGACAGATGCGTGCCTGGGCCGGCGCATCAGAGGCTTCGAGCCTCCTACAGATAAATCAAAAGCTGTTAAGGGGCATTTTGTTGCCCTTCGACCTCGTGGCAGCCGCCTCAGGCCTGCTCTGAAGCATTAGCAGCCCGGGAGAAGGTCTGCCGGCCTTTGGAGGAAATCAATACCGAGATGGGTTGACTTGAAGCAAAGCGAGGGCAGAGGAGCAACCTTGCCGCAGGGTACAGAAAGCCAGTATCCCCCCCGCCAGCACCCCTTCAGACCTGGCAGGACTCATAACACGTGTGCCTGCCTCAGCGAATGACTTCACAGCCCTTAATCTTATCATTTCTTTTCCCCGCCTGGTTGAGACCTTTTGTTTCACCTGCTCGTGCTCTTGCTTCATGGCCATCTTTTAGACCTAGCTCGTGCGGCTCTTTGCAACGTGGAGGGCAGGTGCCCGCCGTGGTGCTGGCGCTAAGAGGGCCACGTCGCACCTCCAGGAGCGCAGCCCAGCGAAGCCGGTCGTGCTGCCGGGGATCTCGTTTCTCACTCTGGAGGTGAGATCCATCTTCTCTCAAATCTGCAAGGGTAATTGAGCGGTGGAATTGATTAGCACGGGCACGTAAAATTTCTTATCTCTTGAAATCCATAAACGACTTGCACTAGTTCGATGATGAGATCCTTGGGGTGCGTTCTGCAGAAGCGATGACATGATCGGGGTGTCCCTTGGCTGAAGAAACAGGAAATCCACCACGGGCTGCGATGCTGCCTGATGTCTCTTTAGACAAGAGCCGTCACTTTTGTCTCGAGCGGCCCCACGCGCTGCGTCGCCGAGAAGCGCCCAGGATGTCTCGGCCCCCTGCCCGGGGCTGTGCTGACCGTCGGGCAGAGCCGGGCAGGACTTTTCCCCAGCTGCGTGGGGAAAAGAGACCGTGGGGGAAGCTGGTGTCCTTGTGTGGGGTGAGCCCTGTTTTGCTGGGGAGGCGGGTGATATAGGTGGTAAATCTCAGCTAACCAGTCTAACGAAAGTCTGGTTTGCTCTGGCATTATCTGTGCTAAAGCCACTGGCCTGAAGTATGGGAGATCAGAATAAGACACCGGTGGATCCCTCTTGGCCTCATGTGCTAAAAATCCAAGCACAAGTCCAACATACGTTGAAAGCAATGGGACACATTTAGTGGTCTAAAACTTGCCTGGATTCAAACGAGCTAATTGTACCTTTTGTTCTGGATCTCAGGGTCCCTTGCGGTCATGTGTGGGCACGCAACACTTTAAGGGATGGGGAGGACTTCTTCTCCAACTTGCACCCCTACCACTGCTGGTTCCCCGAGGTGCCGGAGGCACCCCCTTGCAGAGGCAGGGTTTTCGAGACGCCGCTTTGTGTGCGTGTGACAAATCCCAGGCCAGTAGAGATTGTTTCGTTTTTCCCCACCGAGATTGCATTGGATATTACCAGCAGCCTACGTGGATGCTTTCCGGGTTTTCTTGTTGCTGTTGTTGTTGTTTTTTTTAATATGTCCTTCTTTGTGGGCAGAAACGTGTAGTGAACAATCTGTGCACTCAAAACAAGATAATGCGATGATACAGTGGACCCCCTGCTCGGCTGGAGATTGCTAGATAATATATAGTATTCTGGTGAGATAATAACTAGAAATGGAGTGAGCATTTCTCCCTGCAGCGTTTACATCAAATACTTAAGGTAGCCCTTTGTGGACAGAGAAGTCAGAGGTGGTATCATATGACTAGAGAACAGCAAATGCTTAAAAAGGGGGAAAAAAGAGCTAGTCATCTAGACGGCTTTTTTTCTTGAGTTTGCAAGGCTGGGAGGCCTCAGGATGAAAGGGGAAGGAGGGAAGAATTGGAGTTGTGAAGCGTGGGCAGCCAAGCCAGCTGCTCGATGGGTTAATGAGCTACACGAAAATTAAATCCCTGGCCTGAGAATCTTGCACTCAAAATGCTCTCTCACTCGTGCTTTTTTCTTGCTCACCGTCAGCAGGTAACGGAAAATGGGATAAACTATGGCATGGTTTCACCGCAGATGATGCCGAGCCAAGCTGATCTCTTTCTTTGAAAGGGAACAGACTTTCTAGGCAAGGAAAATACAGCGGCTCCAATCTGTCCCACTTCGATAAAGCATCAAAGCCGTGCCGCAGAAGAAATCACTGCAGCAGCTGCATGGTAGGGTTAGGTGAGTTGAGCAAGGACACGGTTATGAAAGAAAGACAGCAAAGGGCTGTGCTGAAAGCAGGCTGTTTGGGCTGAGAGGAGATTACCTCTTTGAGTGCACCTTGTTATTACGGACTGGGGCGAGGGCTGGAAAGCAGGGTGACTTAGGTCAGAGGTAATTTAAAAAAGGGCAAAATGTCATGCTGCAAAGGGTGAGCTCATATATTTGGGGGACTCATCAGGTTTTCCACTAAACTAAGGGCTTATGAATGTGAAAGACAGGGAGGAGAAAGACCTCGGTGCCTTTGTTGGGCATAAAATGGGCCCGCAACTTGTATGTGATGCTGCTGGGAAAAAGGGAAACGCGACCCTACAGTGTAGTAAGCAAGACAGAGACGAGGAAAGACTTGAGCGTCTTGCGAACCGCTGGGGAAATCTCTCTGGGGATGTGCCACGCACTTCGAGTCTTCGCTCCGCCAGAGGTGTGTTTAAACTGCAGCAGGTACAGCGAAGGGTTGCTACGAAGGGCAGGGGACATGGCAAATATTGGCTTTGCTTGGCGAAGGAGGTTGGGAGAGGACGTGATTCTTGTCTAGAAATACAGTGGGAATGTCAACAGCAGGGAGGGAAACAAACTAATTCAACTTGAAGGCCAGTGTGAGCAGAAGAACATAGAGCTGTGAACTGGTCAGGAGGAAACCTGGGAGGAGAGCGGCACGGGGTTACTAGCAGAGCGGTCGGACCCTGGGACGCCTGGTTGATGGGACTGAGGAGGGCAAGAGACCCCAGAACTAATTTGGAGGAAACGCTTGTTAAATTGACGACAGGTCTGACCTGGCTGTCTCTGCCGGCGGTGACCTGGGGTCTGATCTGGGAAGTCCCTTTCAGCCGGTATTTACTGCTAGCTCTGACTTTGCAGCCATGCCGGCCCGGTGAACGCTGAGCTTGTGGCAATATTAGTAGCGGCTATTAATAGCACCACGTGATTTTGGTTTTTTTTGTTTTGTTTGTTTTGGGTTTTTTTTCCCCCCAAGCCTATGCCGTGCTATTTGTGAAATCTTGAAGTATCTGAAAATGCCAAAACTTTTTGGGGCAACGTCTTAGCTATAGGGAAAAAGCAGCGGCAGCCGCGTGGGGAAGAGCTCGCGTGGGTCCCGCGCTGGTCTGCTCGCCGTCGCGTGGACACCACTGAGGCTCCACAGTGAAACGTGTGCGCGGGTGCGCGGGGCGGCGCAGGGTGCCTCTGCCAGGCGCACGGGGCACGGGTCCGGGGGGCACGGAGCCTCTCTGCCGCCCCGCGGGACGGAGCAGGAGGCCGAAGGCTGCTCACGGGTCTGCCTGGCCGACGGTGCCAGCCAAAGCTGGTCTGACGGGAGGCAAAGGACGGACTTGGCTGCGCACGCGCTCCTTTCCTTCGGCAGGGGAGAAACACGTCGCCAGGAGCTCAGGAGCTTTTATGGTCCAGTGTGCGGTGGACATGTTGTGGGAACCACGGCAGCGCGCTAGTGCTTTATAAACAGGGTGCTCAGCAGCCCAGAAATGGGCAAAACTGACTGTTTATTTTTCCAGATAGTCTGAATATCTCCTGTATGTTGGGAGTCTCCAGAAAAATGATTTGTAAAGTGCTCTCTGGGGAAGCAGAAAATCATGGTGCTATTTCAGACAGGCCCTTGCTAGGAGGTTTGTCATCGGTCATGCTTAGGGTTTTGGAAAGTGTGGTCATGGAGAAAGGAAGCAGGCCCTGGAGAGGCTTTCCTGGATGGCAATGGTGTTTGTTTGTGTAGCAGAAAGAGAAATAGGAATGATTTCCCTTTACGAGAGAAGGCATTTCGTTTTCGTTAAGTGGATGAAGCTTCCTGATACGTTAACTCCTTGAACTGGAATACGTTTAACCTCTTGATGAGGGTGTTTGGATAACGCATTTGCAAGGCTGGGCTGTTTTGACACAAAGGATTTTGATAAGGCAAATGTAGGGTCACTGTGACCCAATTATGATATAAGGGAAATGCTGCTTTTGTAAACGCGCTGATTTTCAGATAAAGGAATAAGGCACCTGAAATGTGCTGTAAGATGTATGACCATATATAGCGTTAAATGAGCATGTAAATTAGATGGCTCTCATTATAAAAGGGCAAGTTTGATGAAGAGTTCCTGAGAGCCTTCCCCAGAATGACGCCTTTTACTTCTGCTGCTCATCTTATTACGGCAGGGCGAGGAAGCCGGGAGGATGGGAGGGATAATGAACTGCTGATACGGTTGTGCTCTGTAAGAGCACCGCTTTGATGCTAGTAATAAAGAACGATCATTTCGCCTCTGTGCCCGGCGTCAGTAAATCTATGCATAATCGCAAAGTTTAGTGTGGCTGCTTAAGAACGTAGCAAAAATCGCTGTCGGGCCCTATGCGGGCTGAGCTTAATCTGAAAGTCAAGGTCAACGTGGAGTCGGTAGGATGCCAGACTACTCGGCAGGCTCCTGGGCGGTCTCGTCCTGGGCATCCCGCCGGGGCTGACCTGCGCACGCGGGTCTCCCCAGATGTATTTGTGGCCAACCGCAAGTTTGAACTGGCACCTCCCAAACCCTCACACGGGAACATCCCACTGCCCAGGGCTGCTGCCGAGCCGGGGCTGAGAAGGGCTGCGTGTTTTCAGGTGTCTCTTCCCTGAGCCTGGGGCTGTTTTAAGTCTCCTGGACGAAGCAGTGCTGTTTTTTTTTTTTTTCTGCCTAAAAATTACCTTGATTGTTAAACAGCAAGTCCTGGACCTTCTCAGCCTGATGATACCTCTTCAGTGGCATAAAATGATTCTCCCTGGGTTTCACACTTGCTGGAACAAATTGTGTTTCAACTTACGCTGTGCGGGATAGCTGGTGTGGTCTAACTTAGCCAAAGCACAAAAGGCGCTGCAGATGGCAAGGAAAAACCTATTTATCTTTTCTAAACTCCAGCGGTTGGAAGGGATATTAAAATGATCAGAGATGTTTGCCACATTAAGGAGCGGGTTATACCAACTCTCACGCACAAGGGATGGATTTTGTGAACAAGATTCTTTTTATTGCCCATCTCAAAACTAAGGATGAGAAGCTTTTTCTCATCAGCCAGAGTTCTGGCTTCAGTGGTCACCTCCTTTGATTTATCAGCAATAAGCTAACAAATACGGGATCAGCCTTGGAGGTTAACAGAGTGGGCCTGCCTTTTACGGGAGATGTGCTGGGTTTCCCAAGGGAGGCTGCAAAGGTTTTCCTGAGCACCTCTGCTCTCCAGGAAGAGGCATTAGGGACTGAGACACAGCACCAGCTAAATTTCCCCAGATGATGTAAATGGACACGGCAGTGCTGCATCAGTTTGCTCTGGGACGAGGATGCCGATGCTCTGAGCATCGGCGGGTACTTCAAGCACACGGCATTTTTCCTTTTGGATTCATATTCTTCCGGACTGGAAAGGGGAATTACAAACCTGTCGTGTGCAGTCTCTGCACACTTCTCTTCTCCATTTTTGTTGCGCTCTTGATCTCTAGATGAGGGTCTATTTTGAGGAGGACTTTGTCAGGGCCAGGACTATCTCTTGCATTGTGTTTGTACAGATCCAGGCCATGAGGTCCCAGTATTGTTTGCACTGTCTAGCAAGACGCCAAATTCCCTTAAGCAAGAAACTACATGAACAACCCCCTACATTGTAGCAGACCTTGAGTTGTTTTCCCAACTGCAGACTACAGAAGTTAGCAGCCCTGTAATTGCCACTGTAATTGTAGGGACTTGAAAACCCTGAGCCATGCAGAAACATAATTTAATCTTTTCTAAAATGTTGATTTTGGGGGCTGATCGTTGTGATTTGCTCTTCTAGTGGTAGCAGGGAACCAAACCTGAGCTGGGATCTGAGGAGGAAAGTCTATGAGGTGCCACCTGGGCTTTGTGCTCCTCCAGGTGCATAATGAAGCATGAACAGCCCAGGTAGTGGCAGCACCGACTGTGCATGTAAGCTCGTTAAAGGGGCTTATTCACCAGATGGACAAACAGTTCACAGGTAGGTCTTATTTTTCATTAATACTCCATTAGCCTTATTTGTGTGCTGTGTTTACCTCCACAGATCTTGTTCCTTTCTCCGTCTGGTGCATAGATTGTGTTTCCAACTCACCCGGTCTTCTGCATCTCATTGCCATAGCTCCTGACCTTCTGAAGTGAAAACAAGTGGCAAGTGAACTCAAACAGCCTCCGAGGTGTCGCCTACCAGCCGCAAAGGGCACACGAGCCTCTGCAGGGCTGGAGCTACCCAGGAACACATCAAAATAGTCAGGCCTTCTTGGCTGGAGTGAATACCAAAAGTCCTTCCAAGGATTCTGAAGCATCTCACAGATGTTATTTATGCACACTGTCAATTTATTAAAATCTTTGCGTCTGAGTTGTCTCTACAGGCCCTGTTATGCATGGTGCCGTACAAGGTCTGTAATGAGCAGGAGCTCTGAAGGGCTGGTGGCTAGGTGGAGGATGCAGGCTAGAGGTGATGCATCCATCTTGCCACCAGGGCCATAAGGGATGGTTTTACGTTTACCGGGGCACCTTCAATTTGACTGGTGGCAGGGAGGGGGGCTGCGGCAGGCAGGGTGAAATCCCAGGCACTCAGATCCTTGTCTGGCACCTTAATGCAGCTGTAGGAGGCCTTCTGGGTCACCAGGTCATGGTGTCGTGCTGTCCTTCCTCTGCCAATAAAGCAAGA